CCATTTGATTTATGGTTTTATTTAACTCCAAAATTTGTCTGTTTATTTTTGGTCCAGACAAACTATCCATTGGTGATGGTGAAATAGTGAAATCTCCCATTACTGCTATGTTAGAATTAATCTGTGGCTTTATATCTAGTAGTATTGGTTTTATGAAATTGGGTATACCTGTGTTTAATGTGTATATGGTTAGGATTGTAACGTCCTCTTGATGGAGTTCCCTTTATGAGTGTGAAATGACCTTTGTCTCTTCTAACAAGTTTTAGTTTGAAGTCCATTTTATCTGATAATAGAATAGCTATGCCTACTTGTTTTTTAGTTCCAGGTGCTTGGAATACCTTTTTCCATCTTTTTACCCTGAGGTGGTTGTTTAAGTTAATGGTGTTTCTTGAAGCAACAAAAATGTGAATCATGTTTTCTAATCAGCTCTGCTAGCCTGTATCTTTTAGCCAGGGAATTAACACCATTAATATTCAGAGTTAGTATTGGAAAATACGTATTAATTCATGTCATTTGTTGATTTTGTATTCTCAGATCTCTTTAGATTGCTAATTTTAGTATTGTTTGTTTTTCTCTTGTGCTGTGCCATTTGGGTATGTTTATCCCTGTCTTCTGTTAGAAATATTCCTTCCAGTATCCTCTGAATCCTTTGCGGTCATCTGACTTTAAGTTTCCATCAAATAATCAGCTGTTATTCTGAATGATCTGCCTTTATATGTGACTTGACTCCTCTCTCCTGCAGCTTTTCCCTACCTTTCTTTGGTCTTTCTTTTCAGTGTTCTAACTATAACAAGTGGGGAGTTTCTTTTCTTATTCTGTGTATTTGGTGTTCTGTGAGCTTCTAACACCTGAATGGGTATCCCTCTCTAGATTTGGGAAATTTTCCTTTATAATTGTATTGAAAACATTAACCATGCCTTTAGCTTGACATTCTACTTTTTCTATTCCCATAATTCATTTTGGTCTTTTCATAGTACCTCAGAGTTCATTCATATTCCATTAGTGGTTTTACAAATTTATCATTTTATTTGATTGAACCATTTCCTATACCTTGTCTTCAGGTCCTAATAGTCTGACTGCTACATGATCTGTTCTGTTGGTAAGACTCCCTGAGCTTATTATTAGGCTTACTGAGCTTTTCATCTCTTTTTTTCATTTCAGTTTGAGCTTTCTTCGGTGTTTTCCCTAACTGGATCCAAGCACTTTTCCAGGTCCTTCAGAGTCTTATGATTCAGCTACTTTCCCATCACTTACCAGGCTTCATCCTCACCAGCCCTTTTCTAGCTCCCAGAGTATGTCAGCTCCCTTGTGCACAGATACTCCCTGTACCTGAAATGCTTTGCCCTCAGAATTAGCTGGTGCCTTTATAAGTTCAGTTCTCAGATGCCAGCTCCTCAGAGAAGTCAGTTGTGACTGTCTGATTCAACTAATCCATCTTTATATTCTTTATCCCATAACTCCTCTTATCTTTACATTATTCTTAGAACTAGTGGAATCTTCTTATTTTATGTATGTATCTAATGTTCTGGTCAGAAGGGACATTGGCTATTTACCATACAAAACAATATCTGAGCACATCACAGTTTGGATCTTAAATGTTCCCCAAAGGTCATAATGTTGAAGGCTTGGTTGACAACTTATGACACTGTTGGGAAGCAGTGAATGTTTAGGAGGTGGGACCCAGTAGAAGGAGATGAGGTCATTTTGGGCATACCCTTAAAAAGGGTGTCTGGACTCCCATCCCTCCCCTTTCTCTCTTTGTTTCCTAATCTCCGTTGAGGTGAGGATCTTTGTTCCACCACACATTCTCTACTGTGATTCTGTCTTACCACAGGCCCAGAGCAATGTGGCCGGTCAACCACAGATTGAAACTTCAAAAACCATGAGCTTTCCTTCTTATAAGTGGATTTACTTAGGTATTTTACCACCATGATGGAAAGCTGACTAACACACTAGCGGTAAGGTGCTAAGGTGTGGAAATGGCAGGTTTGTCTAATGGGAGGCAAGGATAATTTCCTTGGTGGGAGTTTCTTTTCCTGCACAGCCTTGCAGAAGTCTGTCATATGCCACTCACAGTTTTTAGGAAATATCTATACTTTAAGAAAATATCTTTGGGAATCTTCACCTTTTTTCCATTTCTCAGTCATAGGCTATACTTTAAATTGTTCTGGAAGGAAACCCATTTGGTATAACTGCTAGGGGTTTTCTTTAAAAATATACAACCCAGGCCAGTGAGATAGCTCAGCAGGTAAAAGTGCTTGCTGTCAAGCCTCGCAACCTGAGTTTGATCCCCAGGACCCACATGGTGGAAGGAGAGACTCGTCTCCTGAAAGGTGTCCTATGACCTCCACTGGAATGCTGTGGCATGCAAACACATGCGTGCACACACACATTTGAAATAATAAATAAATAATAAATAAGTAAATAGAATTTAAAGATTTTTTTTGAGAAACCCCCCATATTAATTGATATGGTAATAACCAGAGCTCATGCAGTACTTACTGCTTTAAAAATAATCGTTATTTAGCTATAAAATGATGATAGTTGCAACAGATTAGGATCTTAATTAAAAAAGTCATTTCCTAATGTATGTATAAACTGGATTTTTAGTTCATTATCTAAAGTATACCATAATTGCCACTATTTTTGAATAGTGATAAGACCTCAGAATCTGATGATCATGTTCTCAGTACCCACGTAAAGAGGGCATTGTCCTTGTTTGTTGAGTTGACTTAAACTTTTAGTTCTTTGCCATACCTTAGTTCAAATGACTTCTAGAATGTTTATGCTGTCATAAGAACCGACTCAAAAGTTACATGTATGATGTGATCTCAGCTGTGCTAAACAGGAGTGAGAGTGTCAAAGGATGTGAACATGGTCTTGTTAAATGGATGGTAGAATTGTGAGGGGTTTCTTTGTTAGAATACTTTTCTGTAATGAGCAAATGTACAAATGGCTGTAATTTCTGGGCGAGACATGATGCAGTGTCCAACTCTTGAGTGACCTAGACTGCTTAATGTGAGACCTAACATGTGTGGCAGAATTTCCTGGCCTCCAATCCTGATTGAGACTCTAGTATCAGCAGCTGCTTTGTACCAGTTTGGTCTAGTACTCCCCAAGGTTAGGTCTGGCTGTAAGCCTTTGTTCATCCATTCATTCACTACATGTGAACTGAATGATTCATTCTACCAAGCCACGTTAAATTAAACATAAAGAAAACCAAGAATGACCAGTGAGATAGTTCAATAGGGAAAGGCATTTGCTGTGCAAACCTGACAACCTGAGTTTCATCCCCAGATCCTGCATTGGAAAGATAAAATCAATCCCCCAAAATTGACTTCTGACCTCCACATGTGCTCACACACAATAAATAAATTATTTTATTTTTATCTTTAAAAGAAACCATTTAAGAGTCAATGAGCTGGCTCAGCAGGTACAGTGCTTGCTTTACAAGCCTGATGACCTGAATTTGATTCCTAGAACCAACATTAAGATAGACGAGAACTACTCCATAAAGTTTTCTTCTCACCTCTGTATGTGTTCCATGGCATGTGCCTGCACTTACAACATGCACATACACCATTATGTTAAAATAACCAAATAGACATGGTGGTCCCTACACTCGAGTAACTTCTGGTGTACTATACCTGAGAAGACCCTTAAGGAACAACTACACACTTGAGCAATTTCAAGTTGTGTTCAGGGTTACAAAGGAAAAATAATCAGATGCTACCTGGGAGCACTGAACCAAGGAAAGCCTAATTTATATTGAGAGTTTCAGGTAAGGGTCAGACCCCCAGACTGAGAAGAGACAGCCAGGTAAACAGGAAACTGCATGGCCAAGGCCAAAGGCAGGGAAGAGCATTTAAAGAACAGAAGGAAACTAGTACAGGTTTGACAGCTGAGCTGGGAGACACGGGCACAGATAAGGAGATGGGCAGCATGGGAAAGGCCTGTGGGCTGCCATTTAGGAAAGCTGTTGCCTGTGACTTTGACAGAAACGTGTCTAGGAGATGCTGAGGAGGAAGATGTAACCCTTTGATTGCCTAGTAACAAAGCCTCTTTCCTTGAGCCTCCAAAACAGTGTTTGCTGTGACTTTGCAGCCTTTTGTTTTCCCACTAAAGCCTGGTACTATGGCCATAGGAAACTGGGTGCCATTAGTACCTGTCACCACTACAGCTTCTAGAATAATCTGGACTCCACATTGAAACACTAATGTATTGAAACAAATGGTTGTTCTAAGGAAAATGAGGGCATGCTAGATCAAAGTATTGAAGTTAATATTAACTATCAAAACCAAATAACTAGGGGCTGGAAAGATGGGTCAGCAGTTAAGAGCACTGGCTGTTTCTTGCAGAAGACCCAGGTTTGAATCCCAGTATCTCCTGTTCCAGGGGATCCAATGCCCTCTTCTGGCCTTCACTGGCACTGCACGACACAGGTGTAGTCAGTACATTCATACAAAATTAAAAAAAAATTTTAATTAAAAAAGAAAACAACCAACATCTCCATAGCATGATAATTGTTATAAGTTTGTTTACTAGTTCTTTGAATGACATTTCTTCACTTAGAGCAAGACTTCCCAAAGAGGTCTAATGAATGACAATCATTTTTGTTTCTTACTGAATTTAGAAGGAACATCTCTTCAAGTATTGCTGATATGAACCGATAGGAAAGCAAAATGATCTTATAACCTGTTTGCAAAAACTGTGTAAATATATTCCAGTGTAACTAATATGACATTATTACCAGCATGTGGTTGCCCTAAGAAAGTTTCACATTTAGTCACAGTTCATTACAGGAAGAGAAATGCTTGCTTGTCTCATCCTGGTAGCATTCTGATAAGTGATTCTTCCCCTAAGAGCATGTACTTCATTTGTCCTTTGTTTACAATCACTGCAGAATGAAAGCTAGTCCCGAGTCCTGAGGACATCTGTCTCTTTCCTACTTTGGAATTTTGAAGAACTGTACTGAGCCCTACCTATTTTATTTCTCTTAGATTCTTCTTAATCCTCTGGTGAAAACTCTGGGAAACAGGATGGCTGCAAATAAGCCCAAGGGTCAGAATTCTTTGGCATTGCACAAAGTCATCATGGTGGGCAGTGGTGGTGTGGGCAAGTCTGCCTTAACTCTGCAGTTCATGTATGATGAGGTAAGTGCTAAATTCACAGTAAATATTAAGGATTAGGCTTTGAGAGAATATTTTGCTTAGTTTTGGTGTTATTTTGGCTGGAGTCTTTGAGTCCTTGAAAGTTCCTTCCTAGTAATATTTTTTCCATTTTTAAGTTGAGAGCCAACATCTATGCCTGCTTAATTTTTTAATTCAAAAACTTAAGACCCTTTAAGACTCTAGGCTTTAGCATTTTTATTTTTAGTATTTTAATGGAGATTCCCATCTTAATTAGTAGAGCTAGTGAGTATAAAAACTGATTGAGACTTGAGGTTGACTTACAGGTAGTGTTAGTTAATAAATTCAGTGCAAAGTCTGTGCTTGGCACAGCACTAATTCACCTAGACAGATACAGGCCAGGTCACTAAATGTGTACTTTTGGACAGTCTACATAATGGGTGTGTATATTTATATCAGACTTCATCATTTTGGAATTAAGGATCCATCCTATATACATACAGCATTGTATTCTTTCTCTAGAGGAATGCTATCAAGTCTTAATAATTTAAAAGTTGATCATCTATTTTAACCATTTATTCTCAATTCTTCCTCTCGATAAAATCCCAGCTTATGGTTGCTAAGTACTTTCTTAATCCTCATAACAGTCCTGGGCAGTAAGTAGTGGTATCCCTATTTTAGAGGAGAAAACGGAACTTTAGAGAGATTACCTGTGTTGTCCAAGAATAATTTGTGATGAATGGCCAAGTGTCTAACCTGGTCTTCTAACAACAACAGCCAACAAATCGTGTGGGTTTTTAGCACCCAGTCTGTTTCTATTGTTTCCGCATAGCACTTCTTTCACTTAAATAAAATTTGATAGTTTTTACCATTAGGAAAAGGAGGTAAAGAACACATGAACTTCTGTACTATTCATAGTGATTTCTAAATAAGATGCTTTTAAAAGCAAAAATAATAATTTAAAAATCAGTGTGTTTTTTTCATGTGTTGCAGTTTGTAGAGGACTATGAACCTACCAAAGCAGACAGCTACAGGAAGAAGGTAGTGCTGGATGGAGAAGAGGTGCAGATCGACATCTTAGATACTGCTGGGCAGGAGGACTACGCTGCCATTAGAGACAACTACTTCCGAAGTGGGGAGGGGTTCCTCTGCGTCTTTTCTATCACAGAAATGGAATCCTTTGCAGCCACAGCTGACTTCAGGTAAGTGAGAACGTGGTGTTGCTCATGGGCTGCACAGCAGTTCCTTCCCAGAACAAGGTGGACAACCAGAGCTTCTTGTTTGTTGCTCTCTTACTGTCTCGAATAGTGTGTCTTCCCCTGTGTGTATACACAGCTATGCAGATGCACATACATATTCAGGTTCTTACAGCTGCCCTACTGCTGGCTACATTGTCACTTCAACTGCCCAGCGACCCTTTGTGCTTTACTGAACCAGTTCTCCTTAGAGTAAAGCACTGCTGCTGCCATCATAGTCAGTACTGAGAGCGTATAATGGTGCCCCACCCCCGGTTTAACATCTTTCTGAGTTAGTCATGCATCTCTCAGCATGTCTCATGTCAGCAGGCACATTGCCATTCTCCTCCCAGAGCACAGCCCTCAGTTCCTAAAATACAGATAATGTCACTGTGACTTGCACACTTTGGTATGTTCTACAATATATCTTGTTTACTGTGTATTTAAAGTTTGACATCCATTTGATTTGGAGGAGCAGTTCTAGTGAGTGGAAATGATATTACTTTATATCTGAGAGAAGTTTGGCATAAAAAGTTCTTGATTCGTTTTGTAAGTACTGTGCATAATCAAAAATGCTCAGGGCTGGAGAGATGGCTCAGCGGTTAAGAACACTGGTAGTTCTTGCAGAAGACCCAGGTTCAAATCCTAGCACCCACACAGCAGTTAACAACTATCCATAACTCCAGTCCCAGGGGATCCGACATCCTCTTCTGACCTCTGCAGGCATTGCACGTTATAGGTGCACTTACCTACATGCAGGCAGTATATGTATGCACATAAAATAAATAAAAATAAATAAATTTTTTTAATGCTCTTTACTTACATATGTTTATTTCTGTGCTATGAGTCTGCTTTCATTATGCAGGATACAAAAGAGCATGTACTAGATCCTCTAGTCAAGATTTGCACAGCCTAACTGAATATATAAGGCATGAAGCAAAACCTGATTGAGGGTAAAGCAGGAAACATGGGCAGTGATCATTACAGAAGATCCAAAAGGGAAAGAGGGTGGGAAAGCTTCTCAAATTAGATGGGCCTTTGAGAACAAAATGTATTTCAACTGGTTGAATGAAAAGCAGCCAGGACTTATACAGAACATACTTTTATGTGTGCTTGAAAGACTCAAGTACTTAAAGGAATCTAAGAAAACATTCTTTCCCAAAAAAGGCATGTAACTGAGAAATTTTACAATACACATTCATTTGTAAAATTAAGTTTCTTATTCTGTAAAGGAATTTCTTTTTTTTAATAAACAATTTATTGAGAATTTCATACATGCATCAAATCCATGCCCACTCCCTCCCCTCCAACTCCTCCCATATCTCCCCATCACTTTTTTCTGATAACTTCATGTACTCTTTCTTCTTCATTGATTTTTTTTTTTTTTTTTTGTGGGGCTTTTGGCTACTCATAACATTCCCCCTTCTGAAGAGGTAACCCTAAAACCCTTTAAGTATTGGATAAAAGCTCCCAAATATTTTCAACATTTTTGGCCTTTGGAATGGAGTAGGTTAGAGGCCCAAGGACATTGTGGGTTTTAGCCAAGAAACTGCCTACTTTTCTTTGGGGTCTTTTTACCCTAACTGCCTAGCAAATTCCTACCTCCTGTTCTTATCACACCATCCTCTGAAGAGGTTACCCAAATTGCCAGTAGGGAATAGGGACGCAGACTGCTCTGGCCTCTTCCATGCTGAACAGGGATGTAGGGTAAGTCAGTTGGAGTACCCCTTCAGTGGGTCTATCTACAAGATTCCCAAATTGCATAACTCTTACCTTGTGGAGGAAAGGAAAGTCTGAATCGTGACTAGGAGATATGAAGGAGAAGTAAAGGCAAGAGTAATTAGCATTACAAGTTCTAGACAGGGAACTAGAAAAAAGTCAGAACTGGACAATTTTCAAATGTTCATATGAGAGTCCATTGGAATTTCTTTACAATGGCTTCCAAAAGCATCCCTCTATTGGGTTCTTCCTCATTTAAAGCATCCACCTATTGGGTTCCTCCTCATCTTCCTTTGGGTTGACAAGGCTGGACTCGAGAGTGAACTCAGGATTTGTTTTCAGGCACTTTGACAGATATTCAAGTAGCTAGAATCAATGTCAGTTCCTTCTCAAATGCTTCTAGATAGAGAGAGAAAACAAATTTAGCCATCATTTAGCTTTTAGGCTAGAACAATAGCTGGCTGTCTCCCTCAGCTGCAGGTGGGCACTACAGAACTGCAGGCCAAGATTTGAAGTCTTACATCTGAGTAGCATTGTCTTATTAGAAACAGACTCATACTTTAATCTTTGGTTATACTTTCCTTTTGGTTGTTTAAGATCATACAGTTGGCCCAAATAAATCAATTTGTTTTTACACTTAAGGTCATTTGAGGATCTGTTCCTCAGGGGTCACGTGGGCTTGGGAGGAGCTCCTGGCTCCTTTTACCAGTTCCATCTATGTGAAAATAGGTCAAAGGTCCTGCTCGACCATATCTGGCTTCAGTTGGAAGCATGAATGAGCTGTTTCCTCTGAGTTGACCCTCCTCTTTGTAGACTGGACAATGGTTCAGGTCCATCTGCTGGGGTCTCCATGGCCTCACTGAACAAGAAGACAGCTGACTCACCAGTAACAGGACATTTTGAGAGATGTTCCATAGTCCCTTGGAACTTGGTCAACTGTGGAGGGCAAGGGGCAAAAACTGTCCTTTAAGTCCCTCTACTATTATTGAGTTGGGGTTAATCTGTGTCTTAAAGTCCTGTAGTATTGTTTTTATGAATTTGGGTGTACCAGAGTTTGGTGCATATATGTTAAGGATTATAATACCTTCTTGGTTAACTGTTCCTTTGATCAAAATGAAGTGACCCTCCTTATCTCTTCTGATCAGTTTTACTTTGAAGTCTATTTTGTAAGGTATTAGAATTGCAACCCCTGCTTGTTTCTTAGTGCCATTTGCTTGGGATAGTCTTTTCCATCCTTTTACCTTAAGATAGTGCCTGTCCTTGAAGGTGAGATGGGTTTCTTGCAAACAGCAAAGAGATGCAGTTTGTTTCTTGATCCATTCACTTAGCCTGTGTCTTTTGACTGGAGAGTTCAGTCCATTGATATTTAAGGTTATTATTGAAAGATGTGTTTTTGGTTGCTGTCATTTGATTGCTGTTTGTGTTCTCTGTCTAATTTTGTGTTTCCTTGATTATACCTTTATTTATTTATTTTCTTTCATTGCCCTTGGGTATAGTTGTTTCTCTCTCCACTCTCTGTGTTGCTTCAAGTATTCTTTGAAGGGCTGGTTTTGTGGACATGTATTCTTTCAGGCTTTTTGTGTTATGGAAGACTTTTCTTTTCCCCCTCAACTATAATAGACATTTTTGCTGGGTAAAGTATTCTAGGCTGGCATCTATTGTCATGTAAAACTGGAAATACCTTGGTCCAGGCTTTTCTGGTTTTCATAGTTTGCATTGATAACTCAGCTGTAATTCTGATGGGCTTTTCTTTCTATGTGACTTGCTTTGTTTTTACTATGATATGTTGTAGGGAGCCTATTTGGTGTTCTCTGTGCTTCCTGTATTTGTACGCGGATGTCTTTCCTTAATTTCAGGAACTTCTCTTCTACAAACTTGTTTAAGATCTGGTCAACACCATTAACCTGAAATTCTTCTCCTTCCTCTATTCCTATGATCTGTAGATTTGGTCTTTTCATAGTGTCCCACATCTCTTGCATATTCCATTCCTGTGTTTTTTTTTAATTTTCCATAATCTTTCTTGAGTGGTCCAATTCAACTTTATCCTCCAGTGTTGATACTCTTGTTTTCCATTTCATTCATTCTAGTGGTAAGGCTTTCCCCTGTTGTTTCAAGTTGGCTTACTAAGTTTTACATTCCTTCTTCATTTCTGCCTGAGTTTTCTTCAATGTTTCTCTTTTGTGAATTTATTCAGAAGTTTATCATTATCTTCTTTTAGTTCTTTGATTTGTTTTTTCGTGTGTTCTTTAACTTCATCGAATTTCTTGATCATGTTTATGATTGTTCTTTTAAATTCAATTTCTTGGTCTATCTCTAGGGGGTTCTTCTTGTAGAAATCTTCTACAGGATTGATGGAGTTTGGGGGAACATAGTGTTTTGGCTTTCCATTTTATCCTTTTTTTGTTGTGATTTTGGCATGTGAATTTCTTTTGTTGTTTATGATTCTGGTATGAGAATTAAGTTGAAGTATGCTTCTGTTTGTATTATCGGGATACCTAGATTCTATCTTTATTGGTTATGTAAAGCTGGTTGGTACAGGATTCAGGTTCCCTCAGGTTTAATTTGGAGGGAACTAATGGCTTCAGATCAGCTATTCAGGAGTACCACAGAAGCCCAATTCAGGTTCCAGTCAGGTACACACAGGCTTCCTTCACCACGTGGAGGCAGGATCTAGGCGCTTTCAGGCAGTCCACCCTCTCAGGTTGTCTACTAGAATTTCAGCCTTCACCTACCAAAGCCAGATCTGCCCTGGGCCTTGGGAAGGGCCTCACAAAATCCCAGGTAGGGGGATGGGTATGGCGCAATTAGGGGAAGCTCACCACCATGTGGAGGCAGGATTGGGGGGCTCTCAGGAAGTCCCCTGCGTTTTCAGCCCCTCTGTCAGAGGCCAGAGGGAGGCCAGATCTCGGCATTCTCTGGTGGCCTGCTGAGATCAGAGCCGCTATACTGTATGATGGAGGTCAGAACCCATCCTCTCAGGCTCTGTAAAGGAATTTCATGTATGATATAGCATAAAGGGTGACAGATGCTGGAGACTTGTAAACCTGAAGGTTATACAAGTGTCTATGCGTATTTATTTACGCATTCAGTGAATGTGTGGAGTTTATTATATAGCAGGCCCTGATCTAGATAATGGAATGAATTTTGTCACCATAGTTACTGAAACCAAGGCAGCATCTCAGGAGAATAAAGTATTTCCATGGCAAGAATCTTGGGCTGTTGACTGTTACAGGAAATCAGGATGATTCATTACTGTGCTGGTATATCTCCAGTATGTTGCCCTTCCCATAAATAAAGTGGTCCTAGTGGCTCAACAGCCCTTGGAAAGGCAGTTTTGAGATGATTTGAATGGTTATAGTAGGCACTCCACATGTTCAAACCTGCAAGCGCAACTAACACAGGTGCTAGCTCTCCACTTTGCCATCAGCCTTCCTGGTCATCTCTCGCCAAAATAGACCCATTGCTTCACATCTCTACAAGTTGTGTACTTTTATCATACTTAGCACACTCTTCTACTGATCTTCACTTATGCTTTTCCTTATAAGGTAAACATTCTTGAGAGCAAAACACATTTCTTTTCCGTCTCAGTATCAGTTGCAATCATATAGCAATATAGTACACGCTTAGTAAGTATTTGACTCGAGAATCTAACTTTTTGGACTCTCTTTTTATTTTATTATTTTCATTTTATTTGTATGTGTGTATTGCCTGCATGTATGTAAGTGCACCCATGCCATGCAATGCCTGTGGAGGACAGGATAGGCCATCAGATCCCCTGGAACTGGAGTTACGAACAGTTGTTAGCCATCATGTGGGTGCTAGGATTTGAACTTGGGTCTTCTGCAAGAGCAACCACTGTTCTTAACCACTGAGCCATCTCTCCAGCCCTGGGCTCTTTTTTTACATCAAAAATGAAGTTGGCCAGGTGTGATAGCACATGCCTTTAATCCCAGCACTCAGGAGGCAGAGGCAGGCAGATCTCTGAGTTCAAGGCCAACCTGATCTATACAGTGAGTTCTAGGCCAGCTGGAACTACAGGGAGACCCTGTATCCAAACTCACATACATGCAGGCAAGTTGCTCATACACATAAATTAAAAATAATATATTTTTTTTTAATGACAAAAGTTGGGTGAAAGCCGGACATTGTAGTACACACCTTTAGTTCCAGCACTCAGGAGGAAGAGTCAGGCAGATCTCTGTGAGTTCAAGACCAGCCTGGTCTGCATAGTTCCAGGCCAGCTGGAACTACAGGGAAACCAAAAAAAAAAGAAGAAGAAGAAGAAGCTGGGCCAAATTTTAAAGGGACTTTTTAAAAAAATATATTTATTATTTCTGTTTTATGTGTATGAGTGTATTGCCTGCATGTATGTGAGTGTACTCCTGTCGTGCAGTGCTGTGGAGGTCAGAAAAGGGCTTCAGATTCCCCTGGAACTGGAGTTAAGGACTGTTCGTAGCCGCCATGTGTGTGCTGGGAATCAAACCCAGGTCCTCTGTAAGAGTAGTCAGTGCTCTTAATCACTGGGTCATCTCTCCAGCCCCTAAAGGGACTTTTATATTTTAAAAATTTATGATAACTAGGGCTAGAGTGATGGCTCAGCAGTTAAGAGCACTGACTGCTCTTGCAGAGGATCCAGGTTCGATTCCCAGCACCCACATGGCAGCTACAACTGTCTGTAACTCCAGTTCCAGGGGAATCTGATGCCCTCTTCTGACCTCCACAGGCACTGCATGACACAGGTGCACTTACACACATGCAAGCAATATACTCATACATGTAAAATAAAACTGATAAAATATTTTTTAATTTATGATATCCTCTAAAACCATATCGAAAGGAGTGTAACATTAAGCAAAATGTGTATGAAGGTTATAGACCTAATAGTGCCTTTCTATGACAACTAGGAAAGTAGTATATAAAACTAGCCTAAGAAATACCATCTTCTCATCTCTGACCCAGTAGGCCCAGGTCTTCCTTGATCATGTTTCTGGGAGCATTAAGGTTTCAGAATTGGTCCTCTACATCACCTAAGAGTAACTTACTAGGCATTTATTAGCACAGATGTGCTAGGATCACAAACACCTAAGTCACATTCACTTTTCTAGTAGTTAGTGGGACTAAGTAGGTCAATTGTCTTAACATCTTTGTTTAGTCTGCCAATCATGAAGAAACTGGCTAAGAAAGTAACAGAGAGTCAGGTGTGGTAGCATACCTGTAACCCCAGCACTTGAGAGGTGGAGGAAGGAGGACCAGGGATTGAAGGCTATCCTTGGCTACACAGCAAGTTTGAGGCCAGCCTGGAAACAAGACTGTCTCAAGAAAATAAAGACAAAAACTTTTTCTTTTTTTTTTTTTTTTAAAGAAACAGAAAATTTGTTACCTGCCCTGGAAAAAAAAAAAAAAAAAAAAATTTTTTTTTTTTTTTTTTTTTCCAGGGCAGGGAAAAAATTTTTTTTTACTTTAAAAAAAAAAAAAAAAAAAAAATTTTTTTTTTTTTTTTTTTTTCCAGGGCAGGGAAAAAATTTTTTTTTACTTTAAAAAAAAAAAAAAAAAAAAAATTTTTTTTTTTTTTTTTTTTTCCAGGGCAGGGAAAAAATTTTTTTTTACTTTAAAAAAAAAAAAAAAAAAAAAATTTTTTTTTTTTTTTTTTTTTCCAGGGCAGGGAAAAAATTTTTTTTTACTTTAAAAAAAAAAAAAAAAAAAAAATTTTTTTTTTTTTTTTTTTTTCCAGGGCAGGGAAAAAATTTTTTTTTACTTTAAAAAAAAAAAAAAAAAAAAAATTTTTTTTTTTTTTTTTTTTTTAAAAAAACAAAAAATTTGTTACCTGCCCGGGAAAAAAAAAAAAAAAAAAACATGATTGGCCAAAATTTTCTTCACAAGCACATCACAAACTTAATAGCAAGAATGGTGAGTTGTTGACATGCTTTTTGCAAGAAATTGTGAATGGTAGGAAATATAATGCTGTGGACCGTTCAATTTAACTATGCAGCTTAGCACGTAACAACTAGGTGCCATGCTTTTTAACATTTTATTTTTAAAGAAAGATGTTTAAGGTAGGAGTAAATCAGTGGAGGATAGAGGTAACTATAAGCAAGCTAACAGTTTCTGAGCCTTGGGTTCCTCCTCTGTAGCATCAGTATAATACTAACTGTACGTTTGCAGTGAGGAAACGGGGAATGGCATCTAGAAAGCCCTTGAAATTGAATACTCAGTAAAGTTATTTGGAGGTGGTGGGTAGTGGTGAGGAAATACTATCCAAGGGGACAAAACAAATCAATCTGAAGAATGAAGACTTTTTTACTTGGTCTCAAGTATCACTGTAAGATCCTTGTAAAAATCAGATGTATTTTGTTGATCTACTATTCAGATAGTTCATTAATTTTTTCATTTTCTCATTCTAAAATGTTTAATTTCTGTACCTTAATAATTTCAGAAGTGTCATGTCTAAGATGAAGATAATAAATCCATGTCTCACATGTTTCCTTCTGTTTCTTAATTTTTAAAAAATTAGATTTATTTGCGGGGGGGGAGAGAGAAGAGAATGAATATGAATATGTGTATAGATGTGCCACTGGGTACATGTGAAAGTCAGAAGACAACTTCTTGGAGACAGTTCTCTTCTTCACCATGTACAAGGTTGTCAGGCTTAGCAACAGGCACTTTTACCTTGCCAGCCAAGCCATCTCACCATCCAGTGTTTCTTAATTTTTGAAAGTGAAAAGGCAGGGCTGGAGAGAGGGCTTAGCATTTAAGAGTGCTGGCTGCCCTTTGCAGAGGACCTGGGCTCAACTCTTAGCACTCACATGGTAGCTAACAGCCATCCATAACTCCAGTTCCAGAGGATTCAACAGCTTCTTCTAGCCCTCTGTAGGCATTGCACGCACATGGTAGGTGCACTTACATACATGAAGGCAAAACACTCATACACCTAAAAATAAATTTAAAAGTGAAAACACCAGATAGGGTTGCAGACACTGTAACCTCAGTTCCTTGTGATGCTAAGGCAGAAGGATCACAAGTTCAAGGCCAAGCCAACCTGGGCAACTTAGTGAGACCCAAGTCTCAAAATAAAAAGGGGTGAAGGCTTAACTCAGTGGCAGAGCTCTTGCCTGGCATGCACAAGGCCTTGGATTCAATCCTAAAGCTGTAAAAGAAATAAATAAAGTAACTAAACATCTTCTTCAGTACATAATAAGAGCAGCTAAGATTTATTATACATTTACTGTATGCTGTGCATAGTTATACCGAGCACTTTACATTTAATCCTCATAGCAACTATGTAAGTTTCCATCATCTCATAGATGAGGGAAAGAAGTACTTTGCTCACAGTCACATGACTAGGAAGAGTGGAGCCATTGTACTTTAAAGTGAGTGACCCTTTCATAATCTGTAACATCTTTAAATTCAAGATCTTGTATTACTTTCAGAAATTTCTGTCATGTGGAGATTTTAGAGTATTTTGAGGGACCTTTGATATGTGATAAGAACAGGGCTTTCTTCCTCTGAGAACGTCTTCCAAAACAACCCATAACCCCAGTTTATTATGAGAAAAATACTACATACATCCCAGCTGAGAGCAAGTCAGGTCTGTCATGCTCATCAGAGCAAGGATTGTCTGAGAGTCCACACAGCCTGTGGGAGTGTAAGGAAACTAAGTTCCTATGCTATCCTGGAGGAGTTCCAAGAGCAGAAAAGAGATGCTGTGTCAAACTAAGCATGTCTCACTGAGGAGATGACTCTGGTAGAACGCCTGCCTAGTGTCTTTAATGCCCTGGGTTCCATCCTGCATTGAAAAAAAAAACTGAAAGCTTGGATTTGAATGGAAAAAAAATGTATCATTATTGGTACACGAATTGTAATCACGCAAACATAGAAGCCCAGGAGAGTGTCGTGTTCCTGAGCTGAAGCAAAGCTCACAACTCTCTACTGCTGCCCTGCTTGTTCTGTTTGCTGTGTTTTCCTGTCATTACAAATAATGATAAAAGGAAATGTTTATCTGAATTAATTGACAGCAGAATAAGGAAGGCATATCTATTATTTTCTATGAGATTACTGATAAACTTGTTGTATAGAAATATTATTGTAAACAAATTCTGATTACAGGTAACTGGTTGTTATTTTGTGATTTTTTTTTAACATACAGACATTATATTAATAGTTCTTATTTTTACTTATCTAGGGAGCAGATTTTAAGAGTAAAAGAAGATGAGAATGTCCCATTTCTACTGGTTGGCAACAAATCAGATTTAGAAGATAAAAGGCAGGTTTCTGTAGAAGAGGCAAAAAACAGAGCTGACCAGTGGAATGTTAACTATGTGGAGACATCTGCTAAAACGCGAGCAAATGTTGACAAGGTAAGATGAGGCTCTTTCTCATTATATCGTAATAAAAATACTTGATGTGCCTTAAATTTTTCTATTTTATCTAGAATTTGAGAGCCAAATTAAGATTTAATGCTAGTTGATTTTTTTTTTTTTTAACCACATTTATTGGGATTGGGGGAGTATATACCATGGTGCCTGAATGAAAGTCAGAAGACACCTCGGGCTTGGTGACAAGTCCCTTTACCTACTGAGCCATTTCAGTAGCCATGGTATGGGCTGGTTTTTCTTCCTGAATGCTCAAGTATAGCATGTTAGAAGTTCTGAGTTTCACCTTATCCTTGGCTTCCTAAGATACAAGACACCACTGCAGCTGAATGTATATTTTAGAACATCAGTGGCATTCCTGACCCCAGTCACTGCCTTTATTTTTAATGGTATTGTGTAGTGTAGTATACTTTATCCCAAGATGGTAGCACTGAACCAGCTTGCCCTGGCCAGTGTCTGCCTGGCCCTCATTAAGGTCTCTGAAGTGAAGGCACCTTCCAAGATGGAAAAACCCTAATTAAGAGGGTTCTAAAGTCTCCATTATTACTGTGGCAATCCCCACACTCTGCCTTTTTTTTCCCGGGTGCAAAGGGAAATCTCCATGTCTCCATTATCCTCACACTTTGTGCAGAGTGGCCCTTCTTAAGAACTATGTGTAGCCCCTTCCAGGATTAGGGGAGACTATCTTCAGGGCTAAGATGGCTTGAAGGCCTCCTGATGTGGCCCTTGTTCGGTCCTCATGTACTGAGGCTATCCAGAAATGCCTCTTAAACCCAGTATATGGGCTAAGTGTCCATAAAGCCAGGTAAACACATGTCCTTCATTCTCACCACCATATAATGGGCCCAATCATTAGAAAGATCCAAACTCTGGTCCTCATTATTGCACAGCAAGTGCCCTTTACTGCTGAGCCGTCTCTCCACCAGCACCCATAAAACAAGCGGGGAGTCCTGCACATGCCTGTAAATCCAGCTCTGAGGGATCTGATGCCCTCTTCTGGCCTCCATGCATGGATACATATAGATGTATATGTACATACAGTCACACACACACAGAGACACACACACACACACACACAAATAAATCAATCTTTTAAAAATGAGGCTATAAGTAAATATGCTGATATGAAATGATCTTAGTGAAAAAAGCCAGCGCAAAACAGTATCTCTGTCTGTTGCCAAGTGTGTTTTAGGGGCACACTCATGTTTCCATGTGGATCAGAGAGCCGAGTTACAAGTGCGTGTTCGTCTAACTGTGAATAGTGTCTGTTGGAATCTCTTGCCATATGTATGTTTTGGTTTTTTTTTTCAGAAGAGAAACAGTAAAGGGATGAGTTTGCATCTTGTTTTCAGTTTTTGATTGCTATGATATAATGCCTAGGAGAAACAGCCTAAGGAGAAAAGATGTATTCAGCCTTATGGCTTCAGAGATTTCAGTCCAAATCCTTGTCTTGACCTGTTCTGGTCATGATGAGGCCGACCACCATGGTGGTGGGAGCAAATAGGGAAGGAAGCTCACTCTGTACCCTGTGGTAGATAGGAAGCAGAGAGCAACAAGAGACCTGCCAGGGGCACCAACTCTCACTTCAAAGGCATGCCCCCAGTGAGCTACTCCTCCTTCTAGCTAGCTTCACTTCCAGAGTTGCCAGAACTTCTCACAGTTGTGCTTTTCAGCTGTGAACCAAGCATTCAGCACATTCAGACCATAACAAGACTTTTAGTTATTTTGGTTTTATAGCAAAATATACCCCCAAAACTTTCTGAGTGATACAAGTGTTTATTCTGCCCATGGATTCTGTGATGAAGAATTTGGACAAGACACAGTAGATGTTGCTCATTCCTAATCCACTGGAAAGCTTTAAGCCTGCACACTTGCAGTACCTAAACTTGGACACATGACGGGCTCAGCGATGCGATGCTGGCTGTGGTCCAGGGACACCTCAGTTCTTGTCCACATGGCCTGTCCCCTGTGCCATAACCTAAACTTTCTCCCTGCACAGTGGCAGAGTTCCAATGGCAAGTGTCTCAGGAGATTTGAGAATCAGGCAGAAACCGTACTGCCTTTCATGACCTCACCCCTGAAGTTATGCAGCATCATTCAGCCTCATTCTACTGGTCAAGACAGTCTCAGACTCCCACGTGGGGTCCAGAGGAAGGTCAGCATAAACTGTCTCCTGGTAGAGAGAGGCAAGATTCTGAAAGTGTGCGTTGGAAATGCTGCTGGGACAGTTTCTTGAGATAATCTACCTGAAGTAATCCTTTTCCAAAACACAACCAAGGTACAAAATCATTCTGAAACTGTAATTTCACATACTGGTACTCCCTGCAGTTTGACGCACTGGTAAAGTACCACAATAAAAGCAACCTGCAGCAACTTACCAATTTGTAAAATTAGATCACTCTTGGGTTTCCAGCTCAAGCAATCTCATAGTTGGATGGTACTTACATGAGTTGGACACTGTGGCAGACACTGAACCTTCAGTCCTTACATGCATTCAGCACTTTCTAAATAAGGAAACTGACATGTGTAGCAATAACATAACTAGCGGACAATCACAGGGCTGGTGGTGACATGTCTGCCCACTCTGAATTTGGCCAGCTCTGATGATCATATTCTTTGCTTACGCTTTTACTCAGTGATGGTTGGACTAGCCTGTGGTAAGTAGATGCCATCCACTTCTAGAAACCATATCGTCTCCTGCTGGGTTGTAATGCATTTTTCATTGTCACATAGAACAAATACTGGCTCCACACAGATCGCTGGAGACACTTCATCCCCAGCCGGATTCCTAAAAGACCATTTGAAGGATGTTTCAAAGAGGCAGATTTTATTTATTTACTTGCTTGCTTTTTTGGGAAAAGTTCTTAGTATATATCCCAGGCTGGCCTCTGACTTTCAGTCTTCCAAGATAGCCTAAGTGCTGACAACAGGCATGTGCTACCATGCCCATCAAAAATACAGATTTTTTTTTTTTTTTCTTCTGTGTGAATAGTCATCACAAGCAGAGCTGTTGATCTCTGGGTTGTCTCAGAGGACTCCCCATAGGCTCCCAGACCATCTGAGCAGACTGCTTGGCACTCGTTTGTTTATTCACTGGCCTTGCTTATACCCTTCTAGCTTAGTGCTCTGCTTCCTAACTCCTAGCTCCAAGGTTGCTCTTGATTTTAAGGAATCTTTTGGCAGAACTAAAATAACTTCAGCAAGTAGGTATCTAAAGAGGAGCTCTATTTATTATGCTAAGAGAGCCACTTTAAACCCACGCAAAAAATTTAATAGACTTATTTTTTTGAAAATATCAGTTTTTTAATATTTTATTTATTGTTTTTATTTTGTGTCTTAGTGTATTGCCTGCATGCATGTAAGTGCATCCATGTCATGCAATGCCCTTGGAGATCAGAAGAGGGCATCGGATTCCTTGGAACTGGAGTTATGGATAGTTGTTAGCCACCATGTGGGTGCTGGGATTCAAACCCTGATCTTCTACAAAAGCAGACAGTGCTCATAACTGCAGAGCCATCTCTCCAGCCCCGGAAAATATTATTTGAGTTTTTTCATTGTATAAGTAATGTGTAAACACATGCTTATTGTTTAAAGAGAAATAGAAGTGTAAGGGAGAAAACGAAGCCACTTTTCAACCACATTCATTCCACGCTTCTCCCTTCCCTCCTGTAACCAGTGCACCACTACTGTTTGTTTGCACATGCTGAAAGCAGGGATGCAGAAACAAAAGAGAAACTATCATTTGCTTGCTTTTCCTCTATAAATAGAGTTGGTGTGTACGTCTTCATTTGCTTCCTGTGGCTGTGATACACCATGACCAAAAACAACTTGGGGAGGAAAGGGTTTATTTCAGCTTACAGGTCCATCATTGAGGGACACTAAGACAGGAACTAAAGACAGGAGCTTGAAGCAGAAACTGTGGAGGAACACTGCTTACTGACTTGCTTCCCCTGGCTTGCTCAGCTACTTTTCTTACACAGTTCAGGCATACCTGCCCAGGGGTGACTTTCCCACAGGCCAATCCAATGGAGTGATTTCCTTAATTGAGGTTTCCCTCATTCCAGATCTATCAAGCTGACAACTGAAGATAACTTAGAGGAGGCGGGGGTGGATAAAATTATTCAGAATGGGGCTGGAGAGGTGGCTTAGCAGTTAAGAGCACTAACTGCTCTTGCAGAGGACCCAGGTTTGATTCCCAGCACCCACATGGGGGCTATGAACTTATCATTACTCCAGTTCCAGGGGAATCCAAAGCCACCTTCTGACCTCTGTGGCATTGCACGAAAAAAAAATTATTCACAATGGCATGTGTACTGGATAGCTTTAGTTGTCAGCTTGACACACACCTGGGTAAAAGGAACCTCAGTTGGGAATTTCGTCCATTGGACTGGCCTGTGGCCATGTCTCTGGGGCATCTTCTTGATTGTTGAGTGATGTGGGAGGCCCAACCCACTGTGGGTGGTGCCACCCCTGGGCAGGTGGGCCTGTGTTGCATAAGAAAGCAGACTGAGCAAGGGCAAGGGGAGCAAGCCAGTAAGCAGCGCTCCTCCATAGCCTGTGCTCCAGTTACTGCCCTGAGTGCCTACCTTGGGCCCCCTCAGTGATGAACTGCAACCCAGGAGATACAAGCTAAATAAACTCTTTCCTCCCCAAGTTGGTATATTAGTCAGAGTGTTTTGTCACAGAAATGGAGAAACAAACTATAACAGCATTGAATAGGTTTTGTCATAAAGTCAAAGCTTAAAAAGCAAACCACAAGAATCCCCCCCCCTCTCTCTCTCTCTCAATAAGAGATAGTTTATTCTGGAGCCAAATATGAGTGACCATGGCCTGGGAACACAGATTCAGGTTACCCAAAATTTCATGTCCCAGTGTGGAAAGAGTTTAAGTTTTTATAGTAACAGAACAAAGAAAAGTCATAAATGAAAACACTTCAAATACATTGGTAGGCATATACAGCAGAAGAGAAATCTCAGCTATAGGCCTCAGATGCTCTCTGGTGGCATTCTTTGCCTTTTGGTTGGTGGAAGCTAGGGTTCTGTTAAGGTAATACATTCCTAAAGACTTTTTATCTGTTACTCTCAAGATGTTAAGTCAGAAACTGGTGGGCAAGGGGGTGATCCAAGATGAATTGTAAATAGGCTCTGGATCTGCAGCATTCCAAACTCTACACAGTCATTGAAGTGCTAATCAATTGATAAGTCTTATAGGGAGTTCAGCCCAAGATGCAGAATTTTTCCCAGAACTTTTGTTCACAGTTCCCCCTGTTGGCCAAGCATCACATTTTGTGCTTGCAGGGCCCGAATATTTATTCCCAAGTTGCTAGAAAGGCTTCCTAGGGTAGGATCTGATGTAGATGAGGCTGAGTAGAAGGCAAGAAGAGCAGTCTTCAGGAGAGGAGTAGTTAGTAATTTTTTTTTCTTTTTGAGACAGAGTCATGTATGTCTTAGATTGACCTTGAACTCACTGTGGAACCAAGAATGACTCTGAACTTACTGCCTGCCTGTACCTCCCAAGTGCTTCAGGCATGTGCTGCCAGACAAGGTCTGCCCATTCTGCTAACTCCTCTCCACATTCTTCTTAAAATATACAGAGTGTTTCAGAGTTAGATCTTTCCATATTTCCAAAATTTTTTATTAATAGCATTTTCATTTATGGTTTTTCAACCACAAACATACTGCACTGAACTTTCTGCGTGTGCTAAGGAGAAGACAAGACTTCATTTTAAATTGTAATGGCAAAGAACACTGTCCTTATTTTCCAACATTAAAAGAAACCCTTTCTATGTGACCTTGTCAGCCCCAATCTGAACAGCCTTTAAAACTTGTCAGTAGAATCCATAATCCTGATTACCCACGAGGTTGCGCATGACTTGCTGGATTCATTGGCTGATTGTCTGCTGCCAGCTCTGTGAAGTCCTTTTCTTCTGCCCATTCTGATGCTTGCTTACCTTTTATTTATGTCTGGATTATAGTAAGGACACTAGCCCTTTGTCCACTTAGATCTGTTCTCATTTTTGTCTTTTAATCAATATCATCTCTTGCCTTATTTTACCTTTGGCCATGGGAAAAAAAGATTATGCTATTATATTTGTCAGTGTTTTGTGATTTCTCAGTTCTCTGACTTTCCTAGAGCTTTCAACCATTCTAAAATTCTAAGTTTTTTAAAATAATTTTTTACTTTCTTTTGATACTGGTTTTTCTAATAGTTCCTTAGTCCTTGAAATTGTACTATGTCTGTGACTAGGGGCTACTAAATACTTAAAGTGGAAATACTGCTGAAGGCAGTTTTAAGTTAAGTATGAGCTTGTGTATTTGTTTGTTTTACTTATGTGAGGAGGGATTTCTTATGGTCTCTAGTGTAGAATTAGAAAGCCAAATTTTGTTCGTATTGGATTACCCTAAAATGAGAAAAGAGGATGGAAACAGCAGAACAAGGGTGGGAGGAAAGAAGGGCAGGAGAATTATACTAAAAAAGCTGAAGAAGCCTGTGATTCTGGGATTGTCATTTGTCTGGTTCATCAAACCCACTTCTTTCTTCCTCTCTAGTTACCCATTTCCTTTACTTGCTCATTGAAATGGGATTTCCTGTAGCTTATATTCATTAAAATTTTCCCACTATGTTTTTTAGTTTAAATGACTTTGGTGGTTTCTGAAAGAGCTTCACAGGAAGTTATTGCTGAGGTTCATTTAAACTAAAAACTAAGCCTTCTTATAATTTCTTTTTCATAGTACTGTGCTGCATTAGAGAGGCACTGGAGCCCTCTCATAAATACATTTAGTTAGAAAAGGCTTCCTGCCCCAGCCAGTCAGCTCTGGATTTGAAGCAAAGGTCTTCTAAGATCCTTTGTCTAGGGGAAGCAGAATCCCAAGGAGAGTTTCGTCAGTGTGGTATTTCAGTCTGTTGCACCTCTGTGTGTGAGAGCATACGTGCCCACCCTCAATTTCCCTTTGTTTGGGCATTCAGGCACCTTTTTGTTGGACCTGTGTACACTTGACTCAAGACCACGAGCATTTTATAGCAGCCTCACTTCTCACGTCAATTTTGTATTTCTTACTCCAGATCAAGAATCAGCTATTCATGGGCCAGGTGTGGTGGCACACGCCTTTAATCCCAGCACTCAAGAGGCAGAGACAGGCGGATCTCTGTGAGTTCAAGGCCAGCCTGGTCTACATAGTGAGTTCCAGGACAGCTGGGGCTACAGGGAGACCCTGTCTCAAAAAAGACACACACACACACACACACACACACACACACACACACACACACACAAAAGAAGCAGCTATTCACTCATGATCCTTGGTTCTATTTGATACACTGATGTTCAGCAGCCTCAACCTAAGACCTTACATACTAATATACTCCGTAGTTTTGGGTTGTCATTGCCTGTGATCTTTCAGTGAACAGTGACAGGAAAAAAAATTTTAATAGAAGGAAAGCTCATGAATTCATACTTTTTATTCCCCATTCAGATTTGTATTTCAAAGTCTTCCCTCTTTGAGGTAACCTGGAAATTCTAGCTTCTACAGCAACAGAATCACTCTTTTGCATTGTCCTGCAGGTGCCTGTGAAGTACTTCCACAAAAAGCCTCAGTGGGAAGTTGAAGGCTGTGTTTTGTTTTGTTGCTGGGGTTTTGTTATGTTTGGGGTAGGGGGGTAATGTGGGGTTAGCACCTAGAGGCCATGCATGCCGCACCTTAGTTGGGTTTTTATTTGTTGGATTTTTGTTTTTATCTTATCAGCTCAGGTGAATTTTCCATATGCTGTGTTTTTAAGACTCTTGAAATAATTCTTCCCTCCATGCAATTTTATCAACTTGGAATGTGGTCAGTCTTCTTTGGTTTAATGTGAGTTTTCAATTTTTTTGTTTTTTTTGTTTTCAATTTTTAGTGATTTTGGAGGGGGTAATTTTGTTTTTCAATGTGAAAAAATTGTGATGGTCCCAAAAAAGAAATTATTTAACAAGGTGTATTCAGAGGTGTCTTGATATCCTTCTAACTTCTTCCTTTACTCTGGAAAGTAGTGTTGCTGATAAACCAGTAAGTGTTCATTTGACTTTTGGTTGCTTCATTTTTCAAATACATGTGTACAACACAGCCAGCCACACAAGTGGCTCCCTCCACACCACTCTGCACTTTGCATTGTTTTCAGTTTGTTTCCCTGGAGAGACAGCTAAAGGCACATCAGGAAAAGCATGTCAGGCAACGCATCCATACTCTGTGTGTGTGTGTGTGTGTATCCTCCCTCTCTCTCACACATAAAGACACATACATATACAACTTATACTTATGTGTCCTTCCAGGGCCTTCTTTGTCAGAGAACAGAACATGTGTAATTGAAATTTAACTTCTGAATTGTTATACTAGTAATTTTTACTGTGTTAACGTCATTATACACAGTCACTATTAAATATGAATTATCAAAATATACTTGTTGATCACAAAGTACTCAATATAGTCCTTTGAGTTTTATCTTTGGCATGATTGTTACTTTGTAGCACAGTTTTTATTTTTATCTTGACAATTATAATAGAAAGGTGAGGTTTTATTATGTAAACATTTTTAGTGTGAGTTCCTGATTTCCCAAGATCCTAGGAGACTCCAACATTACTTTTATGCTTTTCTCTGCCTGTACCTGTCAGCAAAAGCTCTTACAGCCAAGGGATGTTGTTCTGTAGTCGAGCACTTGCCAGTCATTAGGCCCTGGGGCCATCAGGAAAAGGGAGCTCTGAAGTTTTGACTCTTTTATTCCCAAGGTTATTACTATGATTTAGAGAGAACTGAGTCCATGTTGTTGCTTGTTTTATTCACTCTGCTTTCTTCTTTCTAGGTATTTTTTGATTTAATGAGAGAAATTCGAGCCAGAAAGATGGAAGACAGCAAAGAAAAGAATGGAAAAAAAAAGAGGAAAAGCTTAGCCAAGAGAATCAGAGAAAGATGCTGCATTTTATAATCAAAGCCCAAACTCCTTTCTTATCCTGACCATACTAATAAACATAATTTATAAGCATTGCCATTGAACGCTCAATTGACTGAAATTACTTTAACATTTTGGAAATTGTTATGTATCACTAAAAGCATGAATTGGAACTGCACTGAAAGTCAAATTCACTTAAAAAAGAAATTAATGTGGCTTCACCAAGAAGCAGAGTTCGACTTATTTCCTAATTGCCTACATTTATCACAGTCCTGAATGTAGCGTGTGAGCTTGTTTTTCTTGAACTGTTAAGAGGTGAAATGGGGTGGGGGGAACGGGAGGAAAGGCTACTTCCTCTGGTGTTTATTATAAAGCTTAAATTTTATATCATTTTAAAATGTCTTGGTCTTCTACTGCCTTGAAAAAATAACAATTGTGAACATGATAGTTACTGTACCACTTTTTAAACTATTGTTATGCAAATATAGAAGAGGTTACTGGCATGGTTGTTGCATATAGTAAAACTGAGAGTAATTCCTCTGTGAATCTGCATTAATTACCTGGTAATTACTTAGAAAAATGGTGTGAACTTATACATGGACATTTTTGAATATGCCTTAATTTAGAAGCTGAAAAATAGTCCAGTTACATCATTCTGGGTGTGTTCTCACCAGCACCTTGGGCCACTCACTGCCCATGTAACCTGGTGAGAAAAGATTTATCTTGCCTAGGTGGCGATAGCTTCTGTATAGAAGATTCTGGAGAAATTTCTGTCTGCTAGGAGTCTGTCCAAATTTAAAAAAAAAAAAAAATGTGTGCCATACTCTGGTTCTGAAAGTTCCAGAGCTCCTTCATTGATTTTAATGAACTGTAAGGCAGTTAAAAATTAAGGGCCAGCTTATGCTTGTAAGATAATTTTAGATTGTGATGGTTTAGTAGCAGTTATGTTTGAGTGAATGCTCTTTTCCTGTGGGTTGCTGGTCCTTGTTAATCACTTTCTGCAAGTGATAAGCATACAAGTGTTAATCTTTCAATCCCTCGGAGCAGAGCATAGGAAAGGCTGTCAAGAGTACTAATGCAGCTTGCACTAGAACACTTGGGGAAAGATGCCTGCCCCTGTCATTTCTAAACTTGTACTCATGGGAGTACAGTTGGCTTCATGGGAATTGCAAGGAGTCTTTGTGGTCTCTCCATGTTCATAATGAAGAATGTTGTACTGACATTTTTCTCAAGTTAACATGAAGCAGTCAAACTTGGTTGGCACATACTGACCAAATATGAGGCTGTGATGTTCCTACTGAAAGAACTCTAGCATGCTGTTTGGAACATAATTTCAATGGGAAGTAAACCACTATCAGATTTTTCTTTTCCTCTGTGGGGTTAAGACGGTTGAGTCAACATTTTTTCCTTTTGTGCAGTCTTATTTTCAAAAGGTCGAAATGATGTTCAGGCATTCCAGGTAACAAGTATATATGTAAAGTTACCAAAAAATAAGCTTTTTAGGACCTCTACTCTCTAGATATTACATCCAGCTTGTCATAAATATTTGTCCTTAAAGGGTTTGATTTCATGTTTTCACAGGTTATGCCATGTGCAGAATTAGAGTTCCCAGTGTAACCCCACCAGCAGGCCCAGCTATCTCTGCGTGTACTCACTGCAGTCTTATTGAACCAGGGTCCTAACCACTAACATTGTGACTCTGCTTTGAGACTTTTCCTCTCCTGGGTACTGAGGTGCTATGAAGCCAGCTGACAAAGACGCATCCCATGTCTTAGGCTGATGCCGCTACCCGGTTCATTTATTTGCAATTTGAGCCATTTAAAGACCAATAAACTTCCTTTTTTAAAATGTTTGTGGTGGTAATTGATGTTTGCAGTGTGGCGTTTCTACTTTATCAACTGGGGGGATCTTGGCCAGAGATTTAGAAACAGCTGAGTCTTTTGAGCCATCAGTTTGGAGATCTGTGTATAATGCAAGATTTCCTAAATAATGGTGTCACCAGTACTCAGGTTTAAATCATTACAAGGAATGGGAAACTCCTGTACACAGTTGCATTGAGGATGGGTTTTATTCTGTCATGAAAATCTTAAGTGTACTTTGCTTTTCAGATGCTTCTAAACTCTAAAATGAATAGATGGCAGATTTTATATTTGTTTTCTAATCAGAACACCCAGGGACAATTTCATTTCCCAGAGTGGCAGGAGTGATCACCCTGTTTCCATTCACCAGGTCATTCTCTTTCATATTGGACATCTGCTAGAAAGTCTTGGCCATTCACAATTGAATAGGCTTTGAGTTAGAAATGCTCTGGCCCAATGCTGCATACAACCTTTCAAAATCCAGTTCATTTTAGTACTTTAACTCATAAGCAGTGCTAGAAGGAGTGTATTTCTGTCATAATTCTAATCAACCCCAACATGGAACACGATTATGAGTGCTATGCACCTAGCAGGCTAGATTAAATTCTAGTCTCAGACTAAATCGGAATATCATGTCTCCAAATTCTACAGCGAGGGTGAAAAGCAGTTGGGCAGCCTTAGTACCTGAAGGGTAAACTCAAAATGTTTTCTTAAATTCCTGTAAAGATATCAGATGTCTTTTTGCAAATTGCTTTGGCGTGAAGAGCAGCAGGTCAGGAGACATCCCAGTACACACCTTCAGTTTTCAGTAGATGGTTCTTTTGACTGCCCGCTCTGGCTGTTGCTGGGAATATGCAGTGAAGGGTAGAGACATAAGGAAGTGGAGATTGCCGCTAGAGGAAATTCCACATGCACAACGAGGGGTCGAAGTTAAAAGCAAACTGGAGATTAAATGTAGTTCTGACTCTTACTGCTAATCCACTTAATGGCAGCAAACAGCACATCCTTCAAGTAAGAAACTAAATTCACGTAGATTTAAACAGCCCATATTTTGCAACAGGGAACCTGCGGCATAGAAAAAGTCCAAGGCCACAGAGCTGGTAATTAACTAGAGAGTAATCAGTCTCCCAGTCCTCCTTTGTTTTTGAGACAGGTTCTCATGTAGCCCAGTATCCCCTCCAACTTGGCATATAGCCAAGGATGGCCTTGAATTTCAAATTCTGCCATTACCTCCCAAGTTCTTGGATTACAGGAATGTGCTACCATACCCAGTTTATGGGGTGGGTGCTCGGGCTCAAACCCAGGTCCTCGTACATACTAGGCAAAGCCCTTAACTGAGCTACATTTCCACCACCCCCACAATCCATACTCTTAATCACTGCACATTGGACAAGAAACAGAGTGGAGCTGAGATGTGTGTATGTATATTCTTCGGTGAGAATCATCTTTTGATTTCCCACTCATTGAAAGATTGTCTTCAGAAAGCTTGCAGATGCTGTGCTGACAGAAAGTGCCCTCTTGTGCTTGCAGCTGGTTCCTAAGATCCTAAGACTCACTGTGGAGTCAAGCTTTATGGTGCCTCTTTCCATAGTATCAGTAAAGAGGCAGCACAGAGCTCTCATCCCCTAATTAACTGCTAACATCCTCAGCTCCAGCAGCTCTGCATGCAGTTGCTATAGACAACTGCCTGTAGATACATGAAAAAAATGGGCAGGGGGAGGGCTTTAGTCCTCATCAGTGCCCAGGTGCCTTTTAAGAATGAGAGGGGCAGGGAGTGGTTAATTAACGAGGATAGATGATGGATGGATGGATGGATGGATGGATGGATGGATGGATGGATAAACAGAAAAGGGATGGATGGACAAACAAGAAAGATAGATTGATGATCGATAGATAAATTTTATGGTACTGAGTCAATCCCAAGGCCTCATCATGCATGCAATGCAAGTATTCTACCAACTGAGTTGTACCCCCAACCCCCGACATCTATTTAAAAGAGGCTTCAAGCCATGGTAACTTGTATGATTAGAATGTAGGACAAGATTGCTTTTATCAGAAGCCCCAGGGGAAAACACCTAAAGTGTTTAAGTACTTGCAAGCATCTACTTTAAGGGCAGAATGTTCGAAACAGCCAAGAATGGAGACTTGTAGAGTATTTCTCCAGAGCCCCTGGAACTGTGGACATCAAATGCCTCAGCCTCTTTAATAACAGTTTCTGTCTGACACTGATTAAACCGTAACATACCTCTTGAGTCCATATATTTTAACTGGCATGTCAGTAAAGAACTAAGAAACTAGTTAAAGGATCCAGAGACTGGGCTGTCTCTAGTATTCACTAATTCTTAGCACTGGAAGGACTGACTGAGCCCTTGGTGCTCCTTCTACTCAGCTCTAGCACCACTCATTAGGATCAGCAATTCCTATGCTTACCTAGCATTCTCAAAGTCCTGGGTTCAATCCCCAGCATGGCCAGAAGGAAGAACAATTCCTACCAGTGATGTGTGGAGGGGGGAATATGAAGACCCTGGAAGGAAGGACAGGTCAGAGATGAAGCCACTGGAAGCCTAAGTTGATGTAGAAGAGGGAGAAAATGTTTACCAGACCCTGGGAAGTATTGGGGGAGGGGACGGAGAAAGGATGGTTAGTGGGGACGGGGTGCAGCTGGGAGGAACGATTTAATGTTCTATTCCACAGTAGAATAACTATGGTTGACAAAAAGTAATTGAATACTTCAAAATAGCTAGTGCACAGTTCCCAACACAAAGATATGATAAATACGCCAGTTACTCTGACCTGGTAATTATACGTGGTGTACACAAATAGAAATGTCACACTGCAAATAGGTACAATTACCATGTGTCAGTTTTAAACTTTAGCTAGATATATGGTGTCACACACCTATAGTCGCTGCTATTTAGAATCACTGAAGCCCAGGAGTTCCAGACCAGTGTGGGCAGCATAGTGACAGACAATTATATTTTTTTAAAGTCATGAAAATACATACCTTAAAAAAAAAAATCAAGGGGCTGGAGAGATGGCTCAGCGGTTAAGAGCACTGACTGCTCTTGCAGAGGACCTGGGTTCGATTCCCAGCACCCACATAGTGGCTACGAACTGTCCTTAACTCCAGTTTCAGGGGAATCTGAAGCCCTCTTCTGAGCTCCGTGGCATTGCATGACACGGGTGCACTCACATACATGCAGGCAATACACTCATAAAATAAAAATAATAAAATTATTTTTTTTAAATCAAGAAAATAAGATTAAAAATAGTGTACCTTGCCACTTAGCATGGAGTGAAAGTAATATGTAACTATTAGTTCCTATCTCAGCTCCACTAGAGGGCTGAGGAAAACCAGGAGTCATTAATGTGAAGATGAGGATTCTCTTTAGCCCTTAGTGTGAAAGCTCTGACCTAGAGGAACCTTCAGTAGACTTCTACTCACTGTCTAGATGAATGATCCAGCCTCTTAGTGATGTTTTGTTTTGTTTTGTTTGTGGTTTGTGTGCACGTGTGTGTGTGTGTGTGTGTGTGTGTGTGTGTGTGTGTGTGTGTGTGTGTGTGTAAGCCAGAGGTTGACACTGGGCATCTTCCTCAGTCATTTTTCACCTTAATTTTTCAGGCAGGGTCTCTCACTGAATTTGGAGTTCACTGATTGGGCTAAATAGGCTGGCCAGCAAGCTCCAGTATTCCTCCTAACCGCGCCCCAGCACTGGGGTTAGAGATGCATGCCACTATGACTACCTTTTACATGAGTACTAGGGATCTGAACTCATGTCCTTGTGCTTATGTGCCAAGCACTTTGCCCACTGAGCCATCTTCCCATCCCCTCAGTGTTTTTGATAGCAAATAGGCAAGGAGATATGATGTAACCAAGGAAAACTGGGGCTGCATCTTGGTAGCTGTCTCCTGATGGTCACAATGCCCCTTTGTGGTTGAACATCCTTGAAGCCACAGTTAGGTTGTTCCCACAATATCTGGAAGGCACCAGGAAATTCTCCTAAACGCATACTAATGAAGGTTCCACATCCTCAATAGACCTATCATTATTCTATCACTTGCCATATGGTTTTGACACCACGCCCAAGAGCTATTCTAGAGCATCATAGAGGAAAGCCCCCCAAAAGAGGACCCTAGCCACCATGATTAGGGAGAAGAAAAGGGGGCACCTTACCCACGAGTATGCCATTCATCTCATGAATATTCACAAAAGCTTCTTCAAAGTCCCTAACTCAGAACCCTAGGCCTCTCCCCACCTGGGGGCAGCCCACTCCAATCTCTGGACTGTTTTGTTTGCTTAACATTGCTTTACTAAATAAACTTTTATTTAAACCATGTCTCTTGGGCTGGAGAGATGGCTCAGCAGTTAAGAGCTCCGACTGCTCTTGCAGAGGACTCAGGTTCAATTCCCAGCACCCACATGGTGGCTAACAACCAGTTCCAAGAGATCCAGAACCTTCTTCTGACCTCCACAAACATTGCAGGACATGGGTGCACTTACACATATGCAGGCAGTGTACTCATACACATAATAAATAAAAATTTTAAATAAATAAATATACTATGTCTTTTGACTGAATTCTGTCCTTCAGGACAACAAGAACCAAGAGACTTCTGCATCATTTTGGCCCTGGTTTTCAGGAGGACACCACTACGTGTTGCTGAAGAATTTCACTCTTGGATAGTGTGCTAGGTAACTTTAGTTATCAGCTTGACACACCTGGGTTGAGGAAGCCTCAACTGGGGAATTTCCTCTATTGAACTGGCCTATGGCTATGTCCATGAGGCATTTTCTTGATTGTTGAGTGATGTGGAAGGGCCCAGCCCACTGTGGGTGGCGCCACCCCTGGGCAGGTTGTTCCGTACCATATAAGAAAGCAGTCTGAGTATGGGTCAGGGGAGCGAGCCAGCAAGCTGCATTCCATGACCTGTGGTCCAGCTCCTGCCTCCAGGTTCCTGCCCTGACTTCCTACTTTGGTGATGAACTGTGACT